TATACACTTATATAGTCCAAAGTTTAACTTACGAATGTAGTATAGTAGCTCACCAAAGTGACAGTAACGTTTTAATCGAACGAGCGAACGACAAGGAATGTTATTGATTGCATGCATTTTTTTGTCGACAAAACGAGTGTTTGAAAGCTCACAAGGAGGTCCTATTAACTTTTTACACCATAACAATAAAAAATTTTAGTGAGTGACAGTGACAGTGACAGAAAGTGACAGTAACGTTTTAATCGAACGAACGAACGACAAGGAATGTTATTGATTGCATGCATTTTTTGTCGACAAAACGAGTGTTTTGAAAGCTCACAAGGAGGTCCTATTAACTTTTTACACCACAACAATAAAAAATTTTAGTGAATGACAGTGACAGTGACAGAAAGTGACAGTAACGTTTTAATCGAACGAACGAACGACGAGGAATGTTATTGATTGCATGCATTTTTTTGTCGACAAAACGAGTGTTTTGAAAGCTCACACCATAACAATAAAAAATTTTATTTCCCTTTTTTCTTACAAAGTCTGGTCAACTTGGTGAGATTAAGCTCACTGACACATATGTTGTCATCTTTCACAAGAACCACAATGCCATGATCATGATCACCCGGTGGATAGGTTCCAGTCTCTATACCTTGTGGAACTGGAAGTTCTCGTTTAAAACCGTCCCGAATATTATCCTTACCAAATTGAAGATTCTCTCCATTTATAAACCCCCCTATCTTCTGGAAAAGTAATTCGCAATAAAGTTCTTTGGATTTTTTGCAACCTTTAAGACACTCATTGATCTCATCAGAGACAATAAAATGTCATTCTGAAATGAGAAAGAATTTGAAATGTTAAACTACTATTCACTGATTCACAAGTTAGCTGATTGGTTGAAAAAATCATGCGACCTTGAAAACAATAGACAAGTTCAGACTTTCTGGCTATTTACTGACGCATTGTTGATGCCTTCCTGTTTTTCGGAGAATGTCACGCACTGAGGCCATTTATCGAACGCTTCTTGCTTACTTGCTACCACATCGTGAAAAACTGCTTTTATACCCCCCTAAAAATATAAATTTTATGATTTTAGAAAATATATATAATTTTAATGACAGTTCTATAACTCATAGTGGCCCTTTTAAAAGAGGCTTGAAACCGGTAAGAACTAAAACTGGAAATTAATTTCTCTTCTCCCTAAAACCAGACAAACAAAGTTCGTGGGTGGGGAGGGTTGGAAGAGTGGGTTAGCGTAGAACTGAGAGACTGGTGCAGAGTTAACATTGAAACATTTTGTTCATCTGCGCTTGCATGAGAGGACATTAAACAAGATATCAACTACGAGTCATGGAGCGGAGAGAGATTCTTCTGTT